CGTGCCCCAGGGGAGGGCAAATCTATAAGCAATTACGTAAAACACGAAAGATTCGTGCCCCTGCATGCCCCAGGAGAGGGCCAATCACGCTAAGGATTCGGACCCCATGATTCATGATACGACCACTCTATCAGCACGCACGTGAAGCACGAAAGGTTCGCGCCCTAGGAGAGGGTCAATATATAGGCACATACGTAAAACACTAAGAGGATTCGTGTTCCGAGAGAAGGCCGATCTATTGGCAAATACTTTAAACACAAAAGAATTCGTGCCCCAGGGGAAGGCCAATCTATATGCACACACGTAAGACACGAAGGATTCGTGCTCCAGGAGAGGGCTCATCGATATGCACATGCGTAAAGCACGGAGGGTTCGTGCCCCTGGAGAGGGCATCTGCATAGGCACGTACGTAAAACACGCAGGGCTCGTGCCCCAGGGGAAAGCAAATCTATAAGCAAATGCGTAAAACACGAAAGATTCGCGCCCCTGGAAAGGGCCAATCTAAAGGCATACGCGCGAAACACAAGGAACTCGTGCCCCAGGAGAGGGCCAATCTGTACGCACATTTGTAAAACAGAAAGGATTCGCGCCCCAGAAGAAGGCAAATCTCTAGGCATCACGTAACACGCTAAGGACTCGCGTTCCATGATACGGCCGATATAGGCCCGCACGTAAAGCACTAAACATTCGTGCCCCAAGAGTAGGCCAATCGATAGGCACATGCGTGAAACACAATGTACTCGCGCCCCAAGAGAAGGCCAATATATTGGCACATACGTTTAACACAAAGGATTCGCGCCCCAGGAGAGGGCCAAGACAGCTCCAGGAGGCACCGGGAGGGGCCAAGAGAGCCCCAGAAAGCACCAGGAGGCCCCAGGAAGCCCCGGTGATCTCCGGGAGGCCCCAGGAGGCTCCAGGGGCTCACCAGGCTCTGATGTTTTAATGATTCTTTTTTGATGATTTTGGGGAATGTTCTTGCCTATCAGAAGGTGCCGCGTAGCAAAGGATTCTCTTTTAATCTACTTGGCGAGGGGTCTTGCCTAGCATAGGGTACCGCACAGCAAAAGGCATGTTTAGCACCAGGGATTCTGTTTTAATGAACTTGGGGAAGGGTCTTGCCTAACAGAAGGTGCCGCGCAGCAAAGGGGCTCACCTTGGAGAGGGTGCCGCACAGCAAAGGGGCACATGTAGCACCAAGGATTCTTTTTTCATCAACTTGGGGAGGGGTCTTGCCTAGCAGAAGGTGTCGCACAACAGATGGGGCACGCCTAGCACCAAGGATTCTTTTTAACTCAACTTGGGAAGGGCTCTTGCCTATCAGAGGGTGCCGCGCAGCAACGGGGCATGTCCAGCACCAAGGATTCTTTTTCAATCAGCTTGGCGAGGGGTCTTGCCTAGCAAAGGTGCCGCACAGCAATAGGGCATGTCTAGCACCAGGGATTCTGTTTTAATGAACTTGGGGAAGGGTCTTGCCTAGCAGAAGGTGCCGCGCAGCAAAGGGGCTCACCTTGGAGAAGGTTACGCACAGCAAAAGGGCACATATAGCACCGATGATTCTTTTTTCATCAACTTGGGGAGAGGTCTTGCCTAGCAGAAGGCTTCGCACAACACATGGGGCACGCCTAGCACCAAGGATTTTTGTTTCATCAACTTGGGGAGGACCATTGCCTAACAAAGGAAGCCATACAGCAGATGGGGCACGTCTAGCACCAAGGAATATGTTTAAATCAATTTTGGGAGGGGTCTTGCCTAGCAGAAGGTGCCGTTCAGCAGATGGGGCACATCAAGCACCAAGGATTTGTTTTGACCAACTTGGGAAGGGCAATTGCCCAACAAAGGGTGCCACACAGCAGATGGGACACGTCTAGGATTCTTTTTAAATAAACTTGGCAAGGGGTCTTGCCTAGCGAAGGGTGCCGCGCAGCAGATGGGGCACATCAAGCACCAAGGATTCTTTTTAGAGCAACTTGGGAAGGGCCACTGCCTACCAGAAGGTGCCACACAGCAGATTGGGCACGTCTAGGACAAAGGATTCATGTTTAATCAGCTTGGGGGTGGGTCTTGTTTAGCAGAGGGTGCCGCACAGCATTGGGCCACATCTAGCACCAAGGATGCTTTTTCTTGTCAACTTGGGGAGGGGTCATGCCTAGCAGAGGGCGCCGCGCAACACATGGGGCACGTCTAACATCAAGGGCTTGCTTTATCAACTCGGAAAAGGGGTTCTGCCTAGCAGAGGGTGCCGCACAACAGCTGGGGCACCTCAAGCACCAAGGATTGTCTTTTAATCAACTTGGGGAGGGGTCCTCTGGTAGGGGTCTTGCCCAGAAGAGGGTGTTGCACAGCAGATGGGGCATGTCTAACGATTCATTTTTATAACTTGGGGAGGGGTCTTGCCTAGCAGGGGGTGCCGCACAGCAGATGGGGCACGCAAAGTGTTAGGCACGGGAACCGTGAACTAAAATGGCATTCTCAAATTACAATTGGGAGGGGAGCACGTTGAATACTGGGCATGGTCAAGAGAAAGAGCATTTTCACAAAGAACCGCGTCTTCACCAGGAGTAGCGTCTTCACCAGGAATATAGTGTCTTCACCGGGAATAGCGCCTTGACCAGGAATAGCGTCTTCACCCAGAATAGCGTCTACACCGGGAATAGCGTCTTCACCCGGGATAGCGTCTTCACTGGGAATAGCGTCTTCACAATCTTCACCGGAAATAGCGTCTTCACCCGGAATGGCGTCTTCACCCGGAATAGCGTCTTCACCGTCTTCACCGGGAATAGCGTCTTCACAAGGAATAGCGTCTTCATAGGGACGCGTCGTCACAGGGAATGGCATCTTCAAATGGCGTCTTCGGCGCCGGCGCAATCTGGGAACCCCGGTTGCTGGGGCAATGGAAATACGATGATCAGTAGTAGTAGTAGTAGTAGTAGTAGTAGTAGTAGTAGTAGTAGTAGTAGTAGTAGTACTCGCAGTAGAAGTGGTAGTAGTAGTAGTAGTAGTAGTAGTAGTAGTAGTAGTAGTAGTAGTAGTAGTAGTAGTAGTAGTAGTAGTAGTAGTAGTAGTGGCAGTAGTAGTAGTAGTGGTAGTGGTAGTGGTAGTGGTAGTAGTAGTAGTAGTAATAGTAGTAGTAGTAGTAGTAGTAGTAATAGTAGTAGTTGTTGTTGTAGTAGTAAACGTAGTCGTAGTCGTAGTCGTAGTCGTAGTAGTAGTAGTAGTAGTAGTAGTAAAAGTAACAGTAGAAGTAGAAGTAGAAGTAAAAGTAGTAGTAGTAGTAGTAGCAGTAGTAGTGCTAGTAGTAGTAGTAGTAGTAGTAGTCGTCATAGTACTAGTAGTAGTAATAGTAGTAGTAGTAGTAGTTGTTGTTGTTGTAAAAGTAGTAGCAGTAGTAGTAGTAGTAGTAGTAGTAGTAGTAGTCGTAGTAATAGTGGTGGTCGCAGTAATAGCAACAGAAAAAAGTAGCAGCAGTGATAGCATTCGTAGTCGTAGAAGTATTAGTAGTAGTCTTGGCAGGGGTAGTAGGAATAATCATAATAATAATAGTACTAGTAGTAGTAGTAGTAGTAGTAGTAGTCGTAGTAGTAGTAGTAGTAGTAGTGGGAGTAGATGGTAGTTGGTAGTAGTAGTAGTAGCAGTAGTAGTGGTAGTCGTAGTAGTAGTAGTAGTAGTAGTAGTAGTAGTAGTAGTTGTAGTAGTAGTAGTAGTAGTAGTAGGAGTGGTAGTGGTGGTAGTAGTGGTAGCAGTAGTAGTAGTAGTAGTAGTAGTAGTAGTAGTAGTAGTAAGGGTAGTAGTAGTAGTAGTAGTAGTAGTAGCAGTGGTAGTAGTAGTGGTAGTAGTAGTAGTAGTAGTCGTAGTAGTAAGAATCGTAGTAGTAGTACTGGTCATAGTACTCATTTGAATACACATAATAATAATCTAGTCGCCAAGAACCTTCTATAGCCCTGCCACACGTGCGGTGATGATGTTGCTAGTCAACATAAGAATGTAACTATCATGTTCGATTCGCATTTTTCTGCTGCGATGATAAAAATCGGCCTTGCCGCCCCTCTCCCCGGAGCAAGTCGGTTTTGGCAGGCCGGGGATAATAAACTACCAAAGGGAAAAATGGGGTCTGATGTACTATCCGGGGGTCCGGGAAAAAAACAAGATCTATCATCATCGAACACGGGAAATCGGATCGAATCGGAATGTACGTCGGAGAGGGCCGCATGGGCACGGAACATAATCGAATCAGACCGATGGTACCAAGATGCACGATGGTGCCAAGATGCACAATAACGCCATGCGAACCTCAGGACGCACCAGATCGAGCTGTCCAGAACCGACATCGAACCGAATCGATCGGATCAGAAAAGACCCTGAAAAGAACAAGCTCTCGGTCATCACCACCACTCTTGCCGCCGATGGCGGGCGCTCCGAACTTCCCAAACATCCGACGCCGTGTTTTTTGTCACCGCGTGGACCCCCCAAATCTGGACCCCTTCCCGGTCCCAGGGACCGCCTCTTCATCCTGAGACATTTTTTGGACGGTCCCTTGGCCCAGTGAGGGCCCTGGGAGGCAAGAAAAGTGCCCTAAGAAGGCCCCTAGACCTCCCAACCGACCCCATACAGGGCCCCCAGAGTGACCCACGTAGCTCCGCGAGGATTCAAAGAGAGACCCAAGATGGCTCCAAGAGACCTCCGGGAAAACACGTCCAAGGCGGTTGTTGCACTGCATTCTTGCATACTTCCCTGATCGAGGCAACTCGCCTGGTGATCTGCTTCTGGGTGGGCTGGTGGGGATCGGCAAAGCGTCAAGAATTCCGAAAACCTTCCGCCGTGATCCCTTCGCGACGCGGGGAGGCCTGGCTGTCGGGCAATAGCTCGGGTCTCCGGCGGCCGGGGCGATCCGAGCACCCCCTGAGCGCCCTCAGCGAGGAGCAGCGTCCGGAAGGCATCTCGAAGCATCCGGCTCCCTGGGATCTGGCGAAGACGCCCGAGTCCACCCTCCACGCTCGAGGGTCCTCCACCTCAACCACGTGCCTGCTGCCTCGCATCAGCTCCGCGAAGCGGATCTCGTTCAGGGGCACCTCGCGGCAGGGCTCAACCTCAACAATGCTTCCTGTTTTCGTTATGTCTTCGCGGTCCCATTTCGTTCCGCCTTTGCTGGCGATAGGAAGCCAAACGCAAACGGTCAACCAAATCGCTAAACACACACACACACCATTTAGGGCAAACCCTACCTCGCGTGTATAGCACGACTCTTGAATGATGTCAAAGAAACTTGTTTTTGAATAAATGTTTGAACCAATTTTCAGATAATGGTTTTGGGATAAATTCCACAATCGCAGAACGCCTGCACAGAACGAAATGTTGAGGTCATCGAACGCCGTTCTTCGTATTCATTCAAACGCCGCCAAACAACAATGATCCACGCAATCCCCCAAACACCGTTTTGGTTAGGTCGGGCATGTCCCCCTACAGGCAGATCTTGGGCGAAACAATCAAACTACTCGAACAATGCACCAAAATAGTTGAAAAATGCTCAACACATAGTCCCCAGACTATTTTCAAACTATTTTGAAATGTTCCTCCTGTAGAGGGACATGCCCGACTTAGCGTTTAGGCCGAGCCCCGCCTCGCAGAACGCCTCCGAGGCGGCGCGCCGCGCCTCCTCCAGCGCCTGCCGGTGGGTGACCTTGACGGCGAACCTCCTGCCCGAGGTCTGGCCAGCAGCCTCGAAGATGCTCCCGAGGACGGCGTCCTCTCAGGGGGGACCGACAGGGGGGGACAGCTCAGGGTAGGGTAGAGAATCAGCTAACGTAGCTGACTCTCCCAGCGCCTCCCGACGCCGGGAGGCGCCCACGTATCGAGGAGTGGGCCCAGCGGCGGGGCCGAAACCAGCCAGCTGCATGCAGCAGATGTTGTACCCCCCCCTTTCCCTGTTCCCCCCCTTGCGTTCGGCCCGAGATAGGGAGACAACACAGGACGCATGTACACAACAACGTGCATGAAGACTGCCCCCGAGCCCGCGCGGCCAGCCTCGTGTTACGGGCGTTCGCGCCATGCGTACTTTCAAAACCAGCGTGGATGTATTAGGTACATGAACGTCCTTCTTTCGCTCCTGATCAGAGGAACCCCAGATCCGAGGCTGCGAAAAAATGGGATCGGCCTATATGGTGCAATTTTCGACATCCAGAGGCCCTCAACAGGCCCCGGGACAATCTAACAACGGCTCAGGGTGAAAAGCCGTGCTGATTGTGAAATTGTCCAGACCTTCGTGGGTCCACGCATCGTAAAAATTGGAGCGCCGGATGTCTGGAACAAATGGCTGCATACGTCTAGGGATGAGCGCGGGGAGTGCTGAGTGGACACGGGGTCGCAAGCGGATGCCAAGGTGGTTATATCTGTCCCAACCTAGCTTATAAATGCTTTACAAGTGCCTTAAGTGGCTGAGGGATGTGAGCGATCCAGGCAAAGTGTGCTCCGCCCACGTAGCGGATTTATCTTACCCCTAAGTTACGTGGGGCATTTGTAACCCACTCATCAGCCAGGTTGGACCAAATAGAACCACCTTGCCACCCGCTTATAGTATTTTAACCCCTTAGTAACACCGACGGTGATCCCAGTACAAAACACCTCAATCGCAGCAAGGCGCGGCCATATGCACCTGAGGGTTATCCTATTACTGGGACGCCTCCGCCTCACACTCACCAGGCTCTTTGTATTCACTCACACCCAGTCCCACTCAAACTCAGACTCACTCACACTACGCGGCACTCGCACTCATTCACTCATACTCAGGCCCACTCATACTAAGAGTCACACGCACTCAGACTCTTACTCGAATGAAGGATGATGCACAATCAGACTCACACCGAGGGGGAGCCGCCAGGTGCGGGGGCACTCCATAATTCGCGCTCAGATTGTCGGGATGTCTCACGCAGTTTCCTCGTCTCGACGCCTCGCAATCTTGTCCTTTGGTGGTCCAATGTTCACCGCGATATTACAGGCGAGACACTTGGGCACCCTAAGAGGGACCGCCACGGGTGAGGACACTCCATGATTTGCGTTCAAAGTGCGGGAAGGTCTCACGCGGTTTGCTCGTTTCAGCGCCTTGAGCTTCTTTCTTCTGGTTGTCCACTGCCCACCGCGATATAGCAGGCCTGCCATTTGGGCACCCATGATTCGCGCTCAGATTCTGGGGGTACCCCAGCCGGTTTGTTCGCTTCGGCGCCTCAAATTCCTGTCCTTGGGCGATCCAATGCTCACCGCGATCTAGCAGGCGTGGAACTCGTGCACCCCAAGACGGAGCCGCCAGGGGAGGGGGCATTCCATGTTTTGCGTTCTTTTTCTGCGCCTCACACTTTTCCTCTCGGTAGTCCAATGCTCGCAGTGATATAGCATGCGTGGCATTTGGGCACCTCGCGAGGGAACAACCAGGAGTGGGGGCACTCCGTGACTCGCGCTCAGATTGTAGGGTTGTCGCATCCGGTTGCTTGTTTTGGCGCCTCGAACTCATCTCTTTGGATGGTCCAGTGCTCACCGCAGTCTAGCAGGCCTGACACTTGGGCGCCCCAAGGGGGAATCGCCAAAGGTGGGGTTCGCGGACAGATTGTGGGGATGCCTCAAACGGTGCGCCTTTGTGCTGTCTCAGGCTCCTATGCTTCCGTACCAGGTTGTGAGGATGTCTAGAACGAGGCGCTGGCTCCAGCACCTAAAGGGGGAGCCGCCACGGGGTACGACATTCGCCTGCTGGCAGCCAGATTGTGGCGATGTCTCGAACAACGTGCTCGATTTGCATATCCGACGCCTGATCGTCCAGAGCCCCGTGATCACTTCGATGTAAATAGAAGGGCGACCGCCAAGGAGGAGGGAGGACAAAGGAGGAAGGATGACGAAGGAGGAGGGAGAAGGGAGAATGGAGGAAGACAAGGGAGGGAGGAATTCTAACTCGAATTTTGTCTAGAGCGTCGAACTCCTCTAAATGATGTCACTTGCAGCACAAGTCAACAATCGCGAAACTCAGTCACCGACGTCGGGGGGGAGACCCTTTCGAGAGGCGCGGCAGTGCCTCCTTACCAGCAACGGAAGGAAGCATGCGCAGCTTCTTCAGTGTGCGAGCGGGGTTGGCTGTTTCAAAACCACCGCACCTCTCACAAAACGAAACGCCTCGCAGCACAGCAAACTTGTAGGGTGGATCGCACACCTCCACCAGAGGATGGTCCATCGCGCCACCGTACAGGCGAGCTGGACCAACATCATCAGGAACGGGCCACTGCTCAAGCAGTACTGGCTCGCCGACTCATGAGCACCCGCGGCGACGAACTCGCCCCCAGGAGCCCCGATCTTTCACTTAACCGTTCGACGCCTTCACCGCAGACACCCGGACCCGAGACCAAACACACAGTTCCTACAGTAACGACAACATGCTTGGCTTTCAACTCGGGGAACATCCAATGGCTACCGAGGCCGAGGTCCGCCACGGACCTATCCTCGGCCAGACAGCGCCGACCAGCCAAACCGCGGGTTGTGACTGCGCGCGCCCCAGCCGTGGCTACCCCCACCGGGGGAGGGGGGAAATCGGAGCAACATAAAGCCTCCGCATTGTAAACACTATCTTGCGCACAATGAATATCATCACCTGCGATGCTGTGTTCTGCACATTAAAAGCGTTGCACTCAGCTTCCACGCTTTGAGCAAACGATACTGCCAGCTCTCTCCACGATGTGTTGCAAACAAGAACATCGACATTCTTGGCGGTCGGCTGGCCGCCACACTGCCTGTTAAAAACGCGCTGGTGCCTGGCCTGCCTCCGCGCCGCCTGCCGCGGCCGCCGCTAGCTGCACGTCGGGCCGACTGACCGCTGCGGCGGCTGCAACGGAGGGCGGAGGTCCGCGGAGGTCCGCGGAGGGCGGAGGTCCAGCACGCGTCCGAAATTCGCAGAGCTGTTCTCGCGGATTGTGCGAAATCGCCTGGTGACTTTCTAAGAAGCGAGCCGTACGAGAAGCTGTTCGAGACGATTGCGTTCTGGCTCACGCAAGGCTGCCTAGGTTGAACGCTTTAAGAGGCCCTCATGCCCATCGCGATGGCCATCGCCAAACTCACTGACATCCATCTCCGACGCCTCATCTGCCTCAAGCACCCTCTGCGCTCTTCGCGCATCGATCCAGAACTCGAGCCGCTGGTTGTTGCTTCCGCACTACTGCCTGAGATCCGCATCCTCCATGCCGGCGAGGTTCGGAATAACGACAGGAACCGCTCCACGCCCATGCACGACACCAGCAGCAGGGCGGGCGACATCTTCGACAGGATCTTCTTGAGCACGAGCTGGGGGTCCAGCGTGCACAACAGGTCCCGCGCCACGAGGTGGAGCCGCTGCAACAGCCGCATCGGCTGCAGCCTCCTGTCGCTGCTGAAAAGCACGATACACATCAGCACCTCAGCACGTTTGCGACCACCCCCAAGTAATCGGCATCGCACCTGCTGCACGCTCAATTGCCATATACCTGTCGAGCTCCCGGTGCCCGCACTTGCTGCAGACCGAGTAACTTTGATTCCGAGCTTTGTGACCGCCACCGCCACCACCAAAACGATACTTTTGAACATAACCGTAGCTCTTGTCATGGCGTGCACGGCGCCCCTGGTTACACGGGGCATGCCCACGCCACGACATTCGACTCTCCAGATCCTCGTAAAGGGGCCCAATCCTGCAGTAAAGCCAGCGGGTATCCAACCCCCGCAATTCAGGCGAGTAGGTGCCCAACTCCTGCAGTAAAGGCACACGCGCACGAACATGATGCCAGGCGGAAGAGCCTTGCCAGCCGCGGAAAAGCCGTGCCCACTTGTTCCTCTGGAGAGTTTGGCACCTTGGCATCTTGAGCCCAAATGGCTGCAGGCGAGGAGGGGCTACGGCGATTCATAAGAGGAAGGAGAAGGGAGGGAGGCGTCAAGGAGGGGTTACACCTGCGAGGGATGAGGGGGGAGGGGGGACGTCGGAGCAGAGAGGACAACGAAGAAGAAGGAGGACGCAAGAGGAGGGTAAGGAAGGCCGCTAGGGAGGAGGAGGGAGGACGGAGAAGGAAGGAGGCGGACGCAGGAGAAGTGAGGAAGATTGAGTGTCTACTGCGAGTGGGAAGAGGAAGGAAAGGGGAGGGGGGCCGCCAGGGAGGGGGGCAAGTGCCAGGGATGGGGAGGAGGGACGACGGCGGAGGAGAGAGGACAAGGAGGAGGAGGAATGAGCAACACGCTCCAGGAGGGAGAAGAACGGCCCCCAGGGAGGAAGGAGGAGGGAGGACCGAGGAGGAAGGAGGCGGAGGCAGGAGGCGGGAGAAGGGAAGAGGAGGAAGAGAAAGGATGGACTACGACAAGGAAAGCGAGGAAGGAAAGGGGAACCGCCTGCTCACCGCTTGCCTGTCTGTGAATTGTTGCCGTCGTGGTAGGCGTCGGCAACCGTCGTCGTCGTAACCCACCGTACACTCGGATCCGTTCTCACATTCAGGCACTCACAGCCAGACGCTGACAACGGGAGATGCCAGGGATGAAAACACACATATGGGAATCTCCGCGTCGAGTAATTTAAAGGGCAACGCGGCTGCCCAGAGCAACAACGAAGCTGGCATTCAGGCGAGAGCACGATTCCTGAATCAATTGTGAGGGTGTCTCAAGCGAAACGGCTGCTAGAATGGGCGTTCTGGAGCTCCCCCTCCCCCCTGTGGGGCTTTTCTGTTGTGTTTGCTACAAGTATCCGGACCCTCTAGCGAAACGCTATCTACGGAGCGTGAGCTTTCAGAATTTCAGGCGGACTTATTGGATCCGCGCTAGGCCCCCCTGGCGGCGCCTCCAACGCCGCCCCTGGCGCGGTCCACGCGCCAGGGACGGAGGTTTCAACGCCGATCCACAAAAACCGAGCGAAACTCCGACAGCTAATGTGTTTTATTCGACGGGGACCCCAGGGGGGGAGTGAGGAAGGGCGGGCCTTCTCAGAGGCTCGGAAGGCCTCGGGCCTTCTGAGAAGTTGTCTTAGCCTTCCCCGAAGACGCGAAAGTGTGCTCAAAGGCCAGAGGGCTTCTTGGAATTTTCCCGCCGCCCTCTGAGATGACCTGCCCCCCCTCACTTCCCCCCCGGGGCGCCGCTGATTTGATGCTGCCGTTTCTTCTTCCTCGAGTCCTGGAGGTGGCCGACCAAGTGGTAGTCCTCGCGGCCGCCCTCCAGCTCCTTCTTTATCACCTGCGTCGGATCCGCCGCGTGCGAGGTGGACGACCCCATTTGCGCGCGACCACACCGCACGGGGACCCGCAGGCTTGAGCCAAATATTGCGAGCACATGTGCAGCAATACGGTCGGACCTAGCTCAGAAGAGCATCTTACAAAAACGCGAGACCCTCCGCTGGCCAAATCATACAGAACGTACTCTCTCCAGGGTGCACCAAAACATCCAACAAACACGACAAGCACTAGGGTACCCTCCCCGAGCCGACCTCGATCTTACACTTCGGTCCAACTGTACAATCGGTTGGCCCTCTCGAGATTTGGAAGGGCTTTGGGGCCCTTTGGGGGCCCTCGTGGGCCTCCCTTTGGGGCCTGTGGGGCCGTCTTGGGCCACTCCTGGGCCAGCCTTGACGCCGCTGGGACGGTGCGCAAGAGCCGGGAGCGAACAGGCGAGAGGACGAACAGTACTGATTTTCCGGACTTCGGTTTCGTGAAAGTTTGCCCTCTGGCTACTGGCGGCGTGGTGGGGCCATGTTCGGCCAAATTCGAGGCTGTCTCGGCATGTCTGGTGAAGTCTTGTCTCGATTGTCCGATCTCGTCCGGCCTTGGCTATATGCCTTGGTCGTCTTGGGCCGTATGGAGGACGTCGAAGCCGCTCTTGGGGCGAAGCGCGACGCGTGCGCTTCAGCGGAAGACCCAGAGAGACTGAGAAACAACGATTTTGGGCATTGGCCCAGGGGACAAATGCTGACGGAACCGGCGGTACACAGTCGTAAGACCAGCGATGAGCCCTCGACTGCGAGACCGCACGGTCCTGGGCAGAGTGCGGCACCAACTGTTCGACTTGCGATTAATTGGGGATTGGGGGTCTGGTCGTCTGCCACCCTGGGCCAGTCCACCCCTGTCGTTGCCCCTGGCAGAACATAGAAGAAGAGCAGCTTCATAAGCAACATCTGTCGGAGGTCCGCGCGGAACTCCGAAAGATTATGCGCCGCCGCGCCGTTAATCTCGACGCGCCCGCATGGACGAAACCGACACCAATGCTCATGTGATCCTCGATGTGATTACTACGTCGTCATTCTCAGTCTACCCATGGCTCCAAATGCCCCAACTAGAACACCGACATGGGCGTCATCATCGCTTTCGCTCTCGCCAGGAGCATCATGCCCCCTCGGCACCTGCGGTTCTTTGCGCCGCCGCCCCGAACCAAAACACATTCGCAGCATGTTGTGCCCCGCTTCAGCTGCCCAAGACCAACTGGAAGCTGCAAACACGACAGCGGGTGTCACTGCTGCTTCAACAAAAACGCACTCCCGACTTCCAGGAACTCTGATGAGTTAGCTCCGCCACACTCGCCACGAAAGCATTCCAGCACTGCCGAATCCAATCGTCGACATTCTGTTGCGCCAACATCCTGGAAACTACTTGCGCGATCCAAAACTTCACAGCGACACTCGCCAGCAAAATTTTGATGTCCATGCCCTGGGTCTTCACGTGGGCGCGCCGACCCCTGCCCGCGCCTTTCGCGGCGTTCGTGGAGATCTTTGTTTTATCCAGTAGCTTGAGCGCGACGGCTGCCACTGCGCCGTGGACATCAGCACTGGCGCGTTCAATGTGTTGCGAAGCCTGTTCTGCCAGCAATCTAGCGTCTGCAAACCTGAAAATCGTAAACCTCAAACGACTCATATACCCTAGCTGCGTTTCGTGCTAGCGGGCCGCCCTCGTCTCGTTTACTCCCGTCGTGATGTCTTCGGGGTGGGCGTTGAAGATCAACGAACTTGAGGGTCCCCCGGCTGGGTGCCTCTGGTGATCTCGAACCCTCTGCTGGCGGCGCCAGGTCGTGCTTGCGCATCTTGCCCGGAGTATATCTTGGCGAGTAGCCTGATGCACGGGAGAGGTGGGTCCTGCTGTGCCAGCGCGGTCCAGAGAGCTTGGTGTTCGAGAGAATCCAACGCACTGCGGCAGTCCAACGCAGCGCGCTAGAGCGGCATCCGGCAAAGCGAAAATAAACATATTGTCTCCGGTACTAAAAGTGCATTGGGGGCCAGCTCGGTCGCAACTTTGATTGGCGCCCACAATCGTTGACAGGCGTTTGTGCAGACGCCCGGCACAAACTTTATGCAGACTTGGGGCAACCGCAACCGGCCCATAGTCTCCAGCTGGCCGCCTGTCCCCCGACTTGCGAACCACCTTCGCGCATGCTTGCGCCCGCGAGCCCGTCGGCAACATGGTCGGATCCGAAGCCCAAGCGCGCCCCCTAATCACAACGTCGAATTCTATTCCAAGGGTTCCCGCCCACTGACATGTAGTCAACCGGTCTGGCCCGACCTGCGGCGGCGGCGCGGGCCAGCCGCTTCCATGGGGGCTCGGAGAAACCATTTCTCAATCGCTGCCCACAATTTCATCCATCGTCTTTGAACACGTCGCTGCTCGGACCGCGCATTACTGTGACCTTTGAATCGTCTGCGTCTAACGGGTTCCCAGCTTACGCATTGAAGTCCACTCCGAATGTGCAATGGCACTGCGCAGTGCTTCGATTCGCCTCCTTGCGCAATGTCTTGAAACATCCACGCAACAAGAAAAACTACACATTCAGATCTGAACATCGTCCGCGTGGGAAACCCGCATGAATGATCCGCGCGCGAAGCTGCCCCAACATTTCCCGTTTGCCATCGCGCTGTCAATCCCGAGGCCAAGGAGTAAGGCCTCGCGGGGGAACGCACAGCGAGAAAAAACAAAGAAACAACAAAAACAATCATCAAGCAACTCTGCACCAGACATTCTGGGCTCGCCCCGCACGGTGCGACGGCGGGTCGTCGGCGCAGCGGCTGCCGGGCAGGCTCGCCCCCGCCGCGGTTCTGAGCGGCGCAGAGGCCGCCGGGGGGCCGACCCGCGCCATCTTCCACGGGCCCGAAACCAACCCCTTCGGCCCTCTGCGCAGAGGTGGTCCAGTGCGCTTCCTCTTCCCGCCCCCTGACTCCTCGTCAAGGGAAGCGCCGGCCCCCACCCCTGCCCCCCCCCCCCGGCCTGGACGGGGAGGGGGCGCGAGGCGGCGAAGCGCCCAAAATAGCCCGAGATGGTCCCAAGGGAGCCCCAAATGACCCCCAGGACCGCATGCTGGAGCCCATATTCACAGCGCCGCACATCGAGGCTGCCCCAGGAGAAGCCGCGCGCACGCGTCGCCCAAAGTCACGCGAGGGGCTGAAGTCCGCGCCGTGGGTGCCGCCGCAAAGCTCCTGCAGCGATCGAACGGGGGCGCGCTCGTGAATTTCCCCCGCCCCCGACGGCGGCGCGACGATGGCGAGCGGATTCAAGATGGCCCAGCACAGCCCCCAGAGGAGCCCGAGAGGGAAACGGCGCGGCCCCGAGAACGCCCGACGGGCGCCCCGAGAGCGCGCCAAGAGGGCCCCGGGACACAATTCCTCGGGGCCCAAAAATGCATGGCCATCGCGGCCGCCCCCCCTGGAAACAAGTCCTCCCAGACTGGGCCAGCGAGGCCCCCCCAGAGGCCTCGACGACCCCGAGAAAGCGCCAGGAAAGCCTCGGAGGCTTTAGAAATGGCGCCAGGATGACTCCAAGCGGCCTCGCAGAGGCACCGACATCGAAAAGCCCGAAGCCCTGCATGGATGATTTTTCTCGTCGACGCAGTCGCCGTCGTCGCGGCCGCCGTCGTCGTCGCCGCCGTCGTTCTCGTCGAACCGAGAGCCCTCCGCCCATGGACAATGCCATCCGCCGGGGCTGCAAACCCGTAGATCACTGCCACTTCAAACCCATCGAACGTCATCGCAGTGGACGCGCGGGAATGCGCGCGCGCAATCAGGCGGCGCGCCCTCATCTCTGCGACGAGATGCGTTGCATTCCCATCGCGGGCCAGATGCGATGGCCGAAAACCCGCCCCCGGACGGGCGGGCAGGAAATCAACGCGCACAAACGCAGACCCGTCGACAGAATCTGCGCCAGCCGCGGGCTGGCCCGATCGACGCGCCTCCACGCGAGCGCGGCACCCTCGCATAATCAGCCTCGAGGCGGGCGCGGACGCGGACGGGGGGGGGAGCGATGTCGTCGACGCCGCTGGGGCCGTCGGGCAACGAGGGCGGCGGGGAACGCCGCCAGCGACCATCCTGGCCCGACCGTCTCGCAAGAGGCGAAGGGGCGCGATCAGCGCTCAACCGCTCTCTGCCGAGCGGCCCGGGAGAGAATGCAATGAGAAAGAGCGCGCCGCGAATGTGGGCGTCTGGGACAAAGAGAAAACTGCCGGGCGTTTTCGCCGCGGGCGCCGGATGTCGCCCGGATTTCGAGGCCAGATGTCGGGCCGGGTTTCGGGCCGGATTTCCCGGGGGGCGCGTTTCTCGGTGCAAACACAAAGGCTGCGGGCTTGCATTTGGGCCGGCTTTCGGCTGGATGTTTGCGGCGGGGGGTCGGGGGCAGTCGGGGAGGGGGGGGGGCCTGGGGGGGGGGGGGGGGCAGAAAGTAGGGGGTCGAGGGCGGGGCGGGCCCGCGAAGCCTGAGGATGCCGAGGCCCCGTTCAAAATTGCGCCCCGGGGGCCAGCGCGCCCAGGGGCGCTCGCGAAAGCGCGAGGATGCTCCGGGAGGGGGGCGGAGGGGCAGCAGCAGAAACTAGCAGCGCATGTGTCCACGCTGCTTTCGCGCGGATGCGCGGTCCCGTGAGGCGGGGCAACGGCGCGATCGACTGCGAGCCAGAATCTCTTCGAAAATGATGCCGCAGCGTGAACTTCAAGCATTTACGCTCGGGAACTCGCTGCGGCCCCGCAGAAGGGCTCGACCCCGAATCTCCCGCTCTGCATCTCTCTGCGCGCCGCGCGTTATCGCGGCATCGGCCTGGAGGAGCTCGGACTCGGCCCCCAGACTCGTAGCTTCAAGCGCGGCGCCTCCTGCTGCGACGCCCGACTTGCTCGATCGAAGCGGGCTGCGGCGGGGCCCTGAAGAACGCCCGAGAAATCGCAGGCGCGCCGAGATGGCCCGCAGAACGCGCCGACATTGAGCACGAGGCCCAGGGGCGACCTCAGAGGGCCCCGCGAGGGCGATGGAGAGCCGCAAGATAGCCCAATCGCTCGGCGCGGGGCCAAGGAGATTCGATATCTATCCGCAGCGTGGAAATCTTATTGGGCCCCGGCAACGCCCCGCGCAAATATCCTGATATGGCCCCAAGACAACAATCGCGGGTGCTCCTGGCTTTCCGCTCAATGTATGTTCCCGGGGCGTTCTCCCTCAACGCGGCGAACGCTCTGGCCGAACAATCTCCGGTCGAACGTTCCATAGGACAAAACACTGCCGAGACTGGGCGGCTCACGGGGATTTTCTATCCTGTGGCCCGCAAAGGCGACGATTAAAAATTCGCGGGGGGCGCGGGGGCGTGGGAAGGTTTTGCTATTCAGGAGAAGGGCATCTGCAAAGGCACCGAAGCAGTATGGAAACGTCCTGGAAACATGTCTAGGAGACCCACAGGCGCGCTGGGCGCCGCGTCGGCCCCGCGCAGGCCATTGCGCGCCACGGCGGACGCGCCCTGGGGGCTCTTGCCATCCTGGAACAACCGCGGGCGCAAACGGACCCCACTGCACCTCTGTTCCCGCCCGCGTCGAGACGCGACAGAGGGCCCCCCCCGGCAGCGGCGGGCGGGCCCCCTCGCCCGCGCCGGACGACGAAACGGGCGCGACTTCCCCTCCAGGACGGCCCGCAAAATGAATAAGAGGGAGAGGGCGCGGCGCGCCCAGCGGGGGCAAGAGCGTGCAAGACAAGGCGAGACAAGACATGACATGGGCAAACGCGATGCTGCTAGACTCGCCAAGGCAGTCTCCAGGTCGGGGGCAGATGACCGCGAAAGCCCTGATAAGGTCTCAGGGAAGCCTACTTACTTCAGACACGTATTTACTTCGCCGAAGAATCGAGGCAGGATCGCCCGAACACGCCAGCAACGACCCGCTCACTAAAAGAAACACATGTTTTTTTGTCGACTGGCTTGCGCGCCGAAGTTTCGACGCATTTATCGACAGATTCAAAAACTGAAACGGGAATCCTGACGGAATCCTGACTTGACTGAGCACTGCCCAGACTGGCGTTCGCCCATCGCGCGTGCAGCAACAAGCCTGCCCCAAGCTGATGACTGGTATAATCCACTACAATCAACAGGTGCCCATCGCATGCGATGAAATGCTTGTGTGATTCAGCGCGCCGCGTCTCACTGTATATCCAAATGTCCCACTCTATTATTTCAAGTTCTGCTGGCAAATATTCAAGTGTCTCGTCGCCGGTGAGACACGGGAGACTTCTGGCGCACCTTCGAACATGATCATGAATCTCGGATTGTGCCTGCTCCATGCTCTGCTGCGTTTTTACGCCGCGCAGCCCTGCAACGAGGAACCCTCAGCTTACATTGGCGCATTCACCAATGCCACCACCACCGCCGTAGTTTGGCCGAAGATTCATGGGTACCAAGCCATGTACATTATCATGACGTCCTGGCCCTTCCTGACCAGCATCGCTTGGTCGAAGGTCCGACTCCGTCTCGGTCATCGCCTCCCCCCACCCTCCCCATCCACCTTTTCCGCAGTATTTGTTGTATTAGATTCCTCGTCCTGATGCCGCGCCACGTTTTTGCTGTTTACTTTGGCCAGCGTATTTCCCCATGCTATCTTGACCTCCTCCTCCTCCTCTTCCTCCTCCTTCTCCATGGTTCTTAGTTTATCCTCCCCTCGGTCCTCCTTAATCACCATTAAACACACATCATCCCGACGACATCTTGATTGCCGCCTTCCGCAACTCTCTGAAATCATTTGATCTTCGTCGCGGAGCTGTCGAAAATTACCATCCCCGTACGGGCCGGCTCCGTGTGAGCGTCCACCTTCGCTCCGCGCCCGTCCCACAGGATGCGTTGAAGGACCTTTTCGATATTCTGGTTTGCTGTTTCTGCCATGTTGCCCTCGTTGAACCCAAACGCCGCGACCTGCTTAGCGCGAAACTCTGGATCACCCCCTGAATCGTCGCCACCACTTCCTCCTCGCCCTCCTCCTGAAATTCTGGCCCCGGTGTTGATGTTCATCCCCCTTCTTCCTGTCCTCCATCTCCTTCCTCATCGACTTCATGTCATTCTCGATTGATGCTTCTTTGCCTTCATTCCCTCAATGTCTGACTTGATTGGTTTTTGCAACGTCCCCCATGGTCCATGGCCTCTCCTGCAGTATCGCTCTCAATATGTTCGAGATCGATTGCCTTGGTTCTATTGTACATGAGAGTCTTCATCATGTCGTACATGTTATCCCACTGTTCCGTGTTTTCAAATATAGTAATGTTTTTTTACCCTGGCACATCTCAAAGTTGTGCTTTTTGGCACCCGGGAAAAAAACCTCTTTTCGCCATGATCTCACATCCGGACAGACCTGCAAACAACTATGCTCAACATAATACTCGAATGCACACACTGGAGCCTAGAGTTATACTTCTTGAGCCGAATTGTTTACTGATTAATCTTGAGCCCAACGCAGCTAACGCAAACGGCAAGCTGGCAAACCCACGGCAAGCCCATCGCGCCCGAGGCGGCGTTTGCCCTGGTGGCCGAAGCGCCCTCCCCAAGACAGAAGGCCACGCGTCGGAACAAACGGCGCGGCGACATACATTTACGGGGTGCTTCTGCGAGAGGAGGGAGACGAGGAGGACGAGGAGTTTAGCCCTCGGGAAGGCCCTGGATCCACTCTTCGATCCTCGCGCGCGTCTGCGCAGCCGAGCGGGCGGCGTTGGAGCGCGTTCGCCAGCGCGCGGTCTCCTCAGCTGCTCCGGCAGGGTCCGAGGCCGCGTAGTTCCTCGAAGGAGCAGGCCCAACGATTCTGCCGATACGATCTTCTCCGTCCGCGGCGCCAGATCTTCTGACCCAAGCCCCAGCGGCAATGTTTCGTCCCCGATCCATCCTGGGGTCCAACAGCGCGCCGACATCGAGGACACAAACGAGCGGCTCGAAACGGTCACATCGTCGGAGATGTGGGAAAACTTGCTGGGACATCCGCAAAGAAGTAAACTTCTGGAACCCCGCGCGGACGCCTCGGGTCGGCGCTGAACCCCCGCCCTCCTTGGCGCGCGGAGCGGGATCAAAGGCCGTGCCAGAGGCGCCGCCAGGGGGGCCGAAAGCCGAACCGGGAAGATCCGCGCAGACCTCCAGACGCCAAGGCAAGCGCCCTCACTCGCCCATTCGACTCCTCCATTGTCTATTCGTCGAATTCCCCGGACGCCCGATGTCTTAATTTTTCGATCCGCGGTCCGCAGAAATCTCGACCCTTTCCTCCGGGCCTGTCTTTCATCCCGAACAGTTGCTTTCCACTCCTGCGGCTTGGCGAAGGTTTTCCATGGCCGAAAAAGTGAAACATCTGCCGTCGTGATTTTGTTTACGACGTATGCCTGTGTGGGGAGCTTTCTGCTGCGAGGTCCGCAGCCCCTCGTAGCCGGCCGGGGCGGCGAAATTCACGTTGAGCAGCGCGCGGTCCTTTGGACGCCCGGAATGGTTATGGAAGACATGGATGCGATGTCCAACAGTGAATGTCGTCCAACACTGACAGCGGCTGCTGTTGGACAGGCGGCCTTGTCTCTCAAGTGGAACACGTCCGCGTCGGCGCCGACAGCGAACGCGGTCCAACATGGATAGGAACTGCTGTCGGAACTTCGTATATATTCTTTCCTTGCCCTGGGGTTGGGGTTCCCGACTGTTTGCCACGGGGTGTTGGCATGCGGGCGGGTTGGGATCAACGCCATCCAGGGTTTGCGCGCGCGAGAGGGTTTGGCCTGAGAGCCGCAAGTGCGGGGGGGGGTCGGGTTCTATCTAGGCGGGCGGTGCTGGGGAGGGGGGCGGGTGTTGGCCACGGCCCGTTTTTAGTCTGTCCCCACGCCCTTGATTCGAGTAGGGGATCTGCTACAGAATTAATTTACCCAAGGATACATTTTCTCATCGAATGTACAGAACGAATATGTCGGACGTGTGAAGATCTACGTGTGTTCTACGTAATTGTCCATGGATTCGACGATAACCTTATTTCTGGGATAAGCAATCCTGTAATCGATCTCCTGCTCGATTGCTCGTGTTCACGTGTGTCACCGGGGATAATGAGAAGGCGCCAGCACGGCTACTCCCCAGGCGAGTTCTGACCACGAACCCAGCGGTGGCGACGAGGGCCTCCCATGAGGCCCCAAAAAGAGGGACACGAGGGAGGGTAGCGGTATGAGTACCTTCTCCTCCTTTGAATCCTCTCCCCCTTGAGCAATTCAAAGTCAAAGGTGCCCCTCTCGACCCCCTTGATCCAAAAGAAATCTGGGGTGCCCCTCTCGATCGTGCCGGCCCAGACATGCCACGCCCTGCTGTTTTCTGTACGCGGCCCCTGGAAACCCAGACCCCTCCCCCAGAACCAGATCTTCACCCCGAGCCCTTTTCGGACGGCCCCCAGGCCCGGCGAGCGCCCACGGAGGCCGAAAGCGGCCAAGAAACCCCCGGCCTGACTCTGAGCATGTTCTTAGGGTGGAGGGCTCTGGGTGAAATCCATGTGGGCTTTTGCACCTCGAATAATCAACCCGTCTGGCGATTCACCTTTTGCAGATCCAAATCACGAACATAACGGCATTTCAGATTTCACCCTCTGCCCTCCACCCAATGAGAATGCTCGGTGACTTCCCGACGACACGATCATGTCTGGGGAGGTCCCTCTCGGCGGCGTTGCCGAGGCCGGCGTGGAGCACGGCCCCGTCGTACACGGTCACCAGCCCCCGCCGCAGGGCCGCGGGCACGTACGCCGCGCCCAGGCACCGCCGCTGCGCGGGCTCGGGAGCCCGCGGGGCCCGAGGGGAGCCCGAGAAGCTGCACCGAGTCGCGACGTCGGCTCGCAGCAGGGGATGTGCCGGCCCGATACGCAACACGCGACACGCAGCGTACTGACACGGAGCTTAACACGTAGAGTGAACACGTAGGTCTGACGCGATACGTTCGCCAAAACTTGGGCCAATACGCTGACCGACACGCAGCGTCTTCACATGGACGTTTTGAACGCGGCACGTGCTGCATTTCAAAACGGGCGTCTCATGGCAACTAAGCACGGGATGTGCCGGCCCCTGTCCCAAGCTTTGAGGCGTTGTCGAATGTTGGCGGCGCGCTCTCAGAAGCAGGCTGCTTCTCAGAAGGCTCCGGCCTTACAACTGGAGACAAGGCCCACGACTTCTAAGAAGCACGGGTGCTTCTGAGAAGCCTTCCCCCCTCCCCCGACCCTCCTGTGGGCGTGGCCGAGGACCCGAAATTTGGGGCCCAACCCTGGGATCTACTATATGATGGGGGGCGTCCATCCTCGATAAGGGTTCGTTCGAATAGCCCCCTAGAGATGTGTCTCCTGAAGCTACCACCCCCTCTGCTTGAGCGGCCGAACTTTTCGGGCGGAACCCGGGAAAGAGAGAGAGAGAGAGATAGAGCGAACAAAAAAAGAATCGCCAGCGAGATCGTGTCGGGGGCGGATGGGATCGCCCGCGGATCGTCCCGAGCCGAACCCAAACCTCCAACGCACAGAAGAATTCCATACGGAACATTTTCCTCGTTTTCGGCCTCTGGGGGCCCTCGCTGGGCCCTGGGGCCGTCCAAAACCGCTTCGGGAGGAACATCCGGCCCAGAGGAAAGGGTCGGGACTCTGGATACCCCGCGCTGAACAAACAACAAGACATCCGATCGGGAACGGATCGGATCGCCCGCGAATCGTCCAGAATCGAATCGATCGGGGACGCACCAGCCCCAGTCGGCCCAAGCCAGGGTGAGCCAAGGCCTGGTCGCGCATCAATGCCAGCCATGGAGTGGCATCCAAGCCATGGTCCGCGGATGGCGGGGGAGCGGGGTCGGCCCACGTGGCTCCAAAACCCAGGTCAGCGTCAGCCAGAAGCCCCGGCACATGCCAGCGAATCGAGCCAACTTGAATCGAGTCGGAATCCCGCACCCACGCGAATCGAATCGCATCGACTCGGATCGCAAACAACCCCGTGGACCCTTCAGCACGAACGAAGCGGGTCCTGGACCGGCGGGGCTCGAATTTTCCCCCCACCCGAAAAGTCGGGGCTGTCAAATTTTAAAAGAAAAGACCTCACGACCCACCCTGCACATACCGCATACCGCGGCCGCCAGGCCCGAAGTGTGCTGGTGCTTCCTGGGAATCCCGCTTCGTGTCTGCGACGAATGACGACTGCATGCCGCGGCCGTTTCACATGAAAGAGACGGGTCCTGGAGAAAGGATTGGCTGAAGCCGTGCACAGCAGAAACGCATTGGCAGATCACACGGGCGACTCCAACGTAGGACCCATGGGGGGCCGTCCCGAATGAAAGCATGCCCGGGGCGCGCCAAACAATTTGGTTTCTGCAGAAGAAAAATCCTTGGCGAGGGGTTCGGGCACGGGAGGTAACCCAGCCGAAATTCTGGAAGACGAATGGACTCTCAGCCGCGGGGGTGTGGGCGCGCGGGGCCCCGCCCCCTTCTCAGCGCAACCAAAGGACAAGCGTGAGAGCTTTGATAAGACATGTATTGCAACATCACTCTAATGGTACTTGTACGTGGGACTTGTACTCGTTGTGTTTGCACGTGCATGTGCGCCCGATTTCGGGAATCGGCATTATATACGGTACCCCTACTCATTGCTAATGATTCCGACTCGCCTCCGTGCTCCCAAGTCACGACCCCCTTCATGTTTCCTGATTCCCAAATCACGGGTCGCTTCTGTAAATGCCCCACTTACAACTTCATCATATTAGTGGCAATGCAAGAAAAAAAAGGTGCGCTCGACGAGCAGCTGCGCACTAACACATGATGGTACCGACTGCACTCACATACTAGGTGTACTCTAGCCGGAAAGGGCTCACGGGGTCCAGGGGCAATACGCGCGCGAAAAAAAGGAACGCACATCCATGCGCTGCCAATGGTCCTGGGTTTAACGGGTCGCCGCGAAGGTGGGCCTCCCGAGAATGGAAACAACAAATCCCGCCAAGTCAGGCATGAATCGGGGGGCGATATCGGCAGAAAAAGGTACCGCCGAGACGATTGGGTGACACGGCGAGGGTGCGCAGCATGGCGATCAAGTGAGAGGAGGAGGAGGAGGAGGAGGAGGAGGAGGAGGAGGAGGAGGAGGAGGAGGAGGAGCAGGAGGAGGAGGAGGAGGTGCCGTAGCCATTTTGGCTCAAGTCCGTAGCCATTCGGCTCATGCACTTGGCCTTTTTGGCGTGGGGGAGGCGCGCCCCCGCCTGTGGTCCTGTACCAGGCAACTGGTTCAGATACCATTTTGTGAGCTCCTGCTGGAGCAACTCCCTTGAGGAGGACGACGAACCTTCTGAGTCTGTCCAGTTTCTGCTTCCTGTTTCTCCCATGGCTCCTTCTGCGGCCGTTCCTGCAGGGCGCCCGCCGTGGCACAAGACTGCTCCCCCAGCCTGGGGGGGGGCAATGGCGCGAGTGGAGAGACATGGGTCCTGGCGACTACGAGGGTTGGAAAGAAGTTGGAAGGGCACCTGCCTGTGCCAAGTGCGGGTGCAAGAAGAATGTTCGAGGGAGCTTGTATTGCAAAGCATGCGGCCACAAGCTATCCGACGTGTCCCCTGCAGCAGCACCAGAACCTAGAGGAGTCTGGGGCGAAGCTGGCCAACCACAGCAGCAAGATGATGTTGGCAACGGCGGCAAGAAGGGCAAGGGGCGCAAGGGCAAGGGCAAGGGTCAGGACGACGCGAGTGGAGGAGGCCCAGCCTTGCCTCGGGCGCCAGGGGCCCAGTTCCTGGTGGCCCAGCCTACGGAAGCGAACTCTGACATGGAGATCAACGACCTTGAGCAGCTGGTGGCGATGTTGGAGCGAGCTGGTGACACAGCCACGGCGGCGAAGCACAGGAGGGTCCTCCTTGAGAAGAAGCGCAAAGCGGCTGAGAAAGAGTATGTCGCTCCACTGTCCCAGCGGGTCACCATGGCCCACAAGCAGATGGCGGAAGTCAATCAGAAGTTGGAGAAGGCCGTGGCCCACTTCGGGCGCCTCTCTGAGGGGCTCGAGCAGCAGCGCCAGTGGGTGCAGCAGCTTTCGGACGAGCTTGAGGAGCGCGAGGCGGCGCACCGCAGGCTGGTGGTGGAGCTCAATGCGAAGTTCGTACCGCCGCAGCAGGGCGCCCAGCCCCAGGCGCTCAGCGTGGCGGGCATCTTGGACGGCGCGATTGGGTCGATCCCTCTGTCCTTCGCGGGCCTGGGCTTCGATGATGCAGAATATGATGTGGAGGAGGCGGACAAGCGCGAGCTGGCTGGCCGCACAGCTAGACTGCAGCCTGAGCTGTCGGCGGCGGTCCGAGCCATGTTCGGGCAGGCGGCTGAGAAGGCCAAAGCTTTCAAGACCGAGCAGGAGCAGATGGCACTGCGCCTTGCAGGCACGCGCAGACGTCAGGAGGAAGGCGGGGCTGCTCCTGGTGACGAACCCAAGCCTGGTGCCGCCGCTGGGCAGCCTGAAGGAGATGGCGCTGCTGCTGCCGCGGCCGCTTCAGGGCCAGCGCCTGGGGCGCCAGTGGCAGGAGCTGCGGAAGGTGATGGGCTCAAGCAACGGACCGCCAGGATTTGCCGCCCGCCGCCCCCTCAGGCTACTGCAACAAGCCAGCTCCTCACGAGGGCGCGCTGCAGGTGATCGAGCTGGCCCAGCAGCGCGGGGCGGTGCAGGTCGGCTCGCTCCTGGCCCCATGGGGCTGCCGCCGCCAGAGCCCATCGACGAGGACGGGCCTGGGGCGGTCTTCTACGACGATATCACGGCGTCGGCTGCCAGATGGATTCCTCGTCAGCGTTCGCCTGAGTCAGGGGCGGACAGCTGGACGAGGTGGTGCAAGCCCTACGTCAGGGAGCTGCTCCTGCAGGCCTGGGACCTTGACTGGGTGCAGGAGGCTCGCCAGGACATGACCGTAGACCAGATGGCGGAGGACATCTGCGCGGAGTCCTGGCATGATGGAGCTGATAATCGTGTAAACATCCTCGGCGTCTTTGACTGGGCTGCGGAGCATGACAGGGAGATGCTGCGCTGGGCCCCCCGGCGCCACTGGGAGGAGCTGCGCAGGATCAAAAATGAGATGAGGGACCTGCTGGGCCGTCCCCGTGATGAGGGTCAGCGGACCTCCGACGTGACTGAGGTCGATGTGGAAGCTGCGCGGGCGACTGGCGCTCCGACACTCACTCTCAAGAGGCCCCTGTGCGGTGCTCCTCCAGCAGCGCCCCTGGAGGAGCCGAGGGCAGCGACTCTGTCGCGCCCTGGCAGCACCAGCGGAGTCTTGGGAGCAGAGCGGAGATCGACTACTCCGAGTTCGGCTGGCGCCCCGACACTCACTCTCAAGAGACCCCTGTGCGGCGCTCCTCCAGCTGCGCCCCTGGAGGGGCCGAGGGCTGCGCCTCTGCCGCGCCCTGGCTGCACCAGCGGAGTCTTGGGAGCAGAGCGGGGATCGTCTGGATCATCGGCCAGGGGTGGTTCGAGTTCGGCGGCTGCTGCTGGAGGTGCGCCCATTCGTCGCCACGCAGCTGGCCCCGCTGGCACGCATACTCAGCCTGTGGCTGGGGGTACCGACCAGCGGGGAGCCTTGCCTGGCGAGAACGCGTCTCAGCCTGGAAGGGATAGAGCTGGGCTGGTGGCCAGGGCTAAGCAGAAGCATAACACGGGCAAGGACCAGTACCGTTTCTATTTCGCCAACACCACGCCTTGGGGCCAGAAGGCGAAGGACTACCTGAATCAGTCAGATGGTGGGTTTGCTGTCTCGGACACTGTCATGATTGCAGAACACCACCTCCATGGAGCCCAGCAGGTGCAGGCGATCAAGAGGCTCAGTCGGTCAGGCTGGGCTGTGATTTCCCAGTCGGCAGTTGGCACAGCGCGTGGTGGATATCATGGCGGAGTCTGGGTCATGACCAGGAAGTGGCTCCGGTATGCGCCGCTTTACCCTGAGGTGAAGAGAGCAGTGCAGGAGGAGCGGGCCACGAGCATGGAGACGTAGTGGACCAGCCAGACGGTGCGCATGCGGGACATCGATGTCGTCTTCGTCTCGCTGTATCTGGTCACGGGACTGGGCCTGCAAGGGGAGAACACCACCATCCTCGCAGAGGTGGCAGGGTACGTGCGCTCTCAGGGCAAGCCGTACGTCATCGCTGGCGACTGGAACATGGAGATAGACGAGGTGGCGGAGAGTGGCACTCAGACCTACCTGCACGGCGTTTTCCGAGCTGCTCCTGAGGAGGCCCCTGGCGGAGCCAGGACGATCGATTACTGTCTGGTTTCAGAGGCTCTCAGCACAGTTCTCACACTCTCATGGGACAGTTTTTCCCCTTGGGCCCTTCCTCACACGGGGCTTCTTGGGACTCTAGACTGTTGTAGGTTTCAGCAGCTGCACTGGGTCCTCGCTCAGCCTCCGCCTCTGGTTAGAGCCCAAGGCCCAGACCTTCCTTGGGAGACCCATTTACAGAGGGTGGGGCCCCTCGTCCAGCGCGGCATGGGGATCGACCAGTGGCAGCAGGTTCCAGGCCAGGTGCGTGACCTAGGCCAGTCGTATATGCAGTTTTGCCTGGCAGCAGAATCTTTCCAGACCAATAGGGACCCTTCCAATGGTTTCAGTGAAGCTGACATGCACAGAGGGTTTCACATTGATGTGCAGCAGGTCCCCCGCGGGGGTCCTCGAGATCAGGGCCCAAGATGCCATCTGGGTTGGCGGCGAGAGTCATCGGGTCATTGGCGGGCGTCGGCCGGGGGGCGGTCTAAGGGTGGTGGGGGCATCTTACAGCCCAGCAAACGTCTTTCCATCGCAATCTGCACGGCCCTGATCTCGCGAAGGTAGGCCTGGGTGAAGCGAGGGCTTTCAGCGTTATCGGTGAGGGCGGGTAGAGCGCAGTCATGCAACAGTCTCAGCCTGTTAGAGATCGCATCAGCACGACATGTCAGAAGCCTTTTGTGTCTTGCGACGGCGCTCTACGCCGCGAGAATCCGCTTGTCCACCTCGATTGGCGCATTGTCATCGACAGAGATCTGCTGGCCCAAGACCGCGATGCCCAATTCCCCGAGGAGTAGAGGGTATCGTAAAAGACTTCAGCTTCGGAGGCTCGGCTTTCCTAACTCGTGTGGCGTGCTTCGGCTGAGTGGTCTGGGCATGTAGCTCTGGCCGGCCCCAAACGTCCTGGATTAATATCTGCGAGGCCTGGTCGACCGTGGAAATCCGCTGTGCGTCGAGGAGGTCGACCCGCCAGCCTGCCGGGCGCACGAGGCGATGCCACGCATCAGTCATGAGCGTGATCATGGACGGGGCGTCGCCCCGCAGCCAAGACTTGTCGGCGAAGACGGGCGCTGGGATTCGCTAGATGGGCACGATAAACTGGTGCGCCTTAGAGCAAGCGTGGCACGGCAAATCCAAGGCCCCGAAGTCTTCGCGATCCATGGGGCATCCCCGCCTTTTCGCTGCACGCACTGAATCGGGACAGGCAGGTTGTCGTTTCGTGGTATGTCGGGGTCTCCTTGATAAATCTAACGGGCCCTCGGGGTTGGTCTGGGGAAGGGGGGGCGGGGCGGGGTGAGTCTGCCACTGCCGCGTCGGACTTCACGGGCCATGGCGGACGCGGCGTTGCCGGGCACGCCCGCGAGTTGAAGAAGGTGGCGCCAGACGCCGTGGCCAACGCAACCACAACATTGCGTATACATATATATATATATATGTACATATATATATATATAAATATGTACATCCAGCCATGGCATGTAGAGAAAATTGAAATCCAGTAGCTGTCTTCACCAGAACTCTACATGCGAAGGGAACCTCATCTGTCTGATGCGTCGGGCGAACAATGAATTGGGCCGCCATGGCCACCCGCTCTGAAAGGGTATGCACGTGGGCCTTCCACGAAACAGAAGGCGCTGCAATGCGGCACCAGTTC